TTGTAAAACAATTTTAATTTCTTGGTATAATAAATTCTCCCCTTCTTCCACAAAAATGTTGTGTGATCTATTACTTTTCATATTGCTCATATTATTTTCGTCTTTAATTATTTGGCCGGATTCTCAACAAAATGGTATCAGAATGATTCTTTCTAACAGAATTCATAGACCTTGTGTATACCTCTATCAACACAACACCATTTGACGTATAATTTATATCTCCATATCAATCCCTCAATTTAAGAAGTAAATATAGCCAAATTCAAGGATTTCAGATAATTACTTCAAACACAAGAAAATAAATTACGAAAGGGGTCTGATAATCTTATTTATTGCTAATTTTTCGTCACTCTAAAACTAAACCTAAACATAACATAAAAGCTCAATTACAATATAATAACAATTTATTAACCCAAAGAATAAAAGTTTATAACGAAATCAAGAAACTAAAAATTCTCAAGCATTAGACAATACCCCAACTTATAGAAATAAATGAAGGACCTTTAAATTGGAATCCATTCGTTGATCAAGCTCGAAATTTTGATCTTGAAAAGCTGAAGAATCTTTATCAAAATCACGTGCAGGCCACCTGTCTTTGCATAGAGCTTCCCACAAACAATCCGACCCGCATAGCTCTCTCCAAAACCTGGAGCAACTCCCCAATGAACACACATCAAAAACCTGAAAAAAGATCAAAATTTTTTCAGAACCCACATTCTAAAAAGATTTATAAAACCCAAATTAGAAAAAATAAGGACTAAAAAAAGAGAAAAATATTCATTTTTTTTCTAGGAAGAAAAGGTTTATAATTACTAATTAGTTTAGAGCAGTAAAAAAAAATTAAAACCTGAAGGGATGAAGCTATTTTAAGTGAAATATCATGTGGTAGAGAATTCTGTATGCTCTGAGATGGGCTCATTTTTCTTGGGTTTTCTTGAGGCTTCAGAGGAAGAAAATTTTCTTGGAAATGGAAAGAAGTAAGGCCATGTTTGATTGGCCATCTTTTCCTAGAAACTTGGAAAACATTTTCCTTTTCCTTGGCTTTGACTTGTTTCATGTGCCATATTTTTCCATCCAAATCATTTCCTTGGAGCTGATCCACGCGCCTCTTTTCCATTTTTTTGGGGAAATCATTTTCCCATGATTTTCTAGGCTGCTGGATTTTTTTTTTCTTTTTTTGGTAATAGAAACAAATGTTATAACCAATTGTAAAAAAAAAATTTACTTTAATTGACAATTTACATGTAAAACAAAGCCAAACGGACACTAAACTTTGATGAAAAAAATGATTTTTTAGGAAACAATTTTTTTTTTACTTTTTTTTTTTTACTTTTTGGCAATGGGTATAAGATTTATAACCAATTGTGGAAAAAAATATCACTTTAATGGACAATTTTCATGTAAAACAAAGCCAAACGAATATAAANAAATCTTTTCCCTGCAAAATATTTTTTTTCCACTCATTTTCCACCCTTGCAATCAAACGTAAAGGTCAAGTCCGTGTATGTTTCTGATGTTTTCTGTTAGAACACGTCACAAGCATGTGTAGTTGAGATAGTAAGAACCAAAAGTCGCTTGAAAAAATAAAAAATAGAAAATAAATCATTTACTCAAAGATTATACGGAAAATCCACCTGGGTTACAAATGAGGAACCAAGCTACAATGACAGGGATTTAAATCCCTGTACTTGACAGACAACTCACATCATGGGGTGGGGTGGGATTTTTGTTATTATTTTAATCACGTGGGGCCACCATCACGTGAGACAATTTTTGAATTTCTATATAAAATTTGTACTTCAAGAATTTTTCACAAATGAATGTGGTATAATTTTACCGATTAAATTAATTATATATTTTTTTTTTTGTGAAAAATGGTGTAAGGCTTTGACAAGCGTAAATTCGGTGAACGAAGTGATAATGGTCTCATACATGTAGCCAAACTCCCTTTGAGTTTTTGAATTCTAATGGCAATCTTTTCTTTTATTTTTCCCTTTATTTTTCCCCCAAAAATGGAAAGTTGAGTACCCTTATGTGGCAAAGAATTTTACAGGCACATAAAATAAATTCATTTCGATAAAGGTAAAGTTTGGACCAAGAATTTATTAATACTTAGTTCATAGGCGAAGAATATACATCCGTACATGGTGCATGTTACTTATGAAGTTGGTAAAAAACTATGCAGGTGAAAAAAGGGGTAAAAGAAAAGAAGGTAACTGATATATATAATTTTATTTCCTTTTATTTTTTCAGGTACAATTATATTGACTAAAGTTTCGAGCTCATAAAACATCATATTTGGAGCCTACAAAATTCTGAGCTTGATGCCGAAACCTCTCTTTCTAGCTTTTCTGCTTTCTCCTCCTGGCCAGGAGTCGAATTTTGTCTAGCTGGAGGAGCCGAACAGACGGGCAAGACTGATCGAATTTGAACCGCTGGTGCCATGGAACCGGCATGTGATGTGCCCCAGACATTTTTCACGCCATTGAACAATGGTAGACGTAGAGATGGATAAACTGCATTCCTTGGCGTTGAGGCTGGAGAGGAACTGGCCGATCCTCCTGGAATGAATCTGGTCGAGGACACTTCATCAGCAGTTCCCCTCAGCGTGGCATGGGGTGGACGTGCCAAGGGACCTCTATTTGGGCTCATAGAACTAGCCATTGCACTGTACGGGTGCCAAACACTAGATGATAAATGTGGCCCAATTTCAAATGGGAGCGTCTCTCTGGACCTTTTATGAGTAAATTCTGATGATATTTGATTATATTCTTCATTTAGGCTGGCTTCTGGCTGATCGGAATTTCTGATTTCATGGACGGATATTCCCTGTCCGACTTCACCTTTCTCACGTGGAAACTCTTCCCTTCTGTAGCTGGGATTATCATTGAAGGGTTCACAATAGTCAGGAGCTTCAGTTGGCATTAAGGATATATCAGATGGGGTACTCGCCTTCCACTGAGCAGAGTTGGCCTCATTGATAACCCGTGTTTCATCACCTTCTTCACCCTGCGCATTTTCTTGTATCTCTTCTATAGTAACTTGTGAATTAATCCCAAGTGGACGAGGCAATATATCATTTGAAACATAGAAAACTGGGCTAAATTCTGGTACAAACGAGGTAAGTTCTCGTGCCCCTGCAAAGGAATACAAACTGGTTTCTGGCCTGAATACAGAAGGTGCAAATGGAAAAAATTGGAGTCTCTGTTGCTGAAAAACTTGATGATTCCAACTAGGGTAAATGGCCACTTCAGGCCAGAAATTAGGATACATGAACGTATGCTGCTGCATTTCATAGAACGATAAGCCGGTGTTATATTGAGTTACGTCCCTCCTAATTGCAGAATATTCTTGCTTTACCTGGCACCTCTCTTTATGTGCTGATTTTCTCGTCTCAGGTAATTTTAAACGAGCAAGATAACGAGCAACAGTTACTTGTTCTTGCTCATCCTTTCCTCTGAGGCCTGATATGGAAGAGCAAGATTCTTGCTGCGCTGCTGCATGAGAGAATAATAGTTTCCATAAATGAGTCTTGTAAGAAATAAAACAGAGAGAGACAAAAAAAGCTAAGTTACATATGACACGACGAACACTCAATAAAACCCATGTACCAAAATATAAATGCTAATGGTCTCAGTACGTTGCATGGGCACTGAAGCCATTTTGACACAGAGACCTAATTGGCTCCCTATCTTATAGTTGTAGAAAGGATATCGAAAGAACAAGAACCTGAAGAAAACAAGCGTCTTATCACATCAATCAAGAAAGTTAGCTTCGGTTTCACATAGTTCGCCTAAAAATGTATCAGCCCAGTGAAGATTGGCTGAGGGCAGTTCTAGCACAAATAAGTTGGTCAAAAAGGACACTTAGAAGCTAGTTAAGGGGGAGTAGACAATGGATGACTAAGCCAGCCGGATTGGGTAGGGAAATATGTATAGTTCACATGATTTTGGGGTTAGGGGCTGGAGGTTGATTGACGACCATGCTTTGACAGGTTGTGGTGGAGTACTCTATGATAGATTCCATCTATTATTTCTTCCTATTCTTGAGGGAGTGATCTGGATTAATATGGGTGGAGATAAAGGTCAAAGCCATCCAAAGCAAATTGACTTTATTATTGTAGATGTCCCTTTTTGATAAAAATTCAGGCTGAACTATGCAGTATTTGGTATTTGTTGCCACTTTTTTACATACAGAATGAAACTGGGAGCACTTGATAATACACATACAGTTTTTCAAGGCAATCCAGGCAGCCATTGCAGCACATTTCTGAGCTTGCTTTTTGGTTTTGGAAGGCTCTCCTGCAAAAGTCATTCCATTGACCTCGACTGTGCAAGTAAATACAGGAGCGTAGGCTGGTCCAGAGCGGACAGTAGTATAAACAGGAAGCTTTAACCCTGCCCTGTGAGCTGTCTCCTGAAGTAAATTTTTGTAAATTCCAGTTTCATCCTGCATTACAGAAGATTGCGAAAAGATGATGAAAGAATTGGTACAATTATCCAATAAAGAAAATAGACATGTAGTGTTAATTTAATTTTTCAGCAATGCTAAAAATGAAGTTTAAAATTATGCGACTCAACACTGTAGTCAAAAGATATTGAGGACTCGTCATTTCATCTGGCTTATCCTGTAGAATCCAAGCATTTCCCCCCTTTCTCTATGCCATTGTTTGGGTCCTGTGGTGGGAAGAAGATGAATTTGCATTTACTTATAGATGTGCCGATTGCAATGGTCTACTTTGTGAAAATATGGCAAAAGTCGTTCCAAATGCAATGCATTAGGAAGACATACGCTGCACGTTTGGCACGCAGTATTATGAGCAAGATTTTACCTTCCAATCCAATCCTCCTTGCCAAACATGCTAACAAGAGTTTCAATTTCCAACAAGATAATAAATGATAG